CATCTACTACATCTACATCTGCGTTTGTTTATCCCAGATGTAGCCGTCCAGATTACATTTTTTTACATCTCGATTTGAAATGAGATGTGAATGAGAAGTTCGTTCCATGCCAGAAAGTAGGTGTTCTGTGAAGCCAAGATTATTGATTTATCCTTTATTTAAGCTAGCGTGTATATATAAGTGATTAGTGTGTTTAATTTTTGTTTAGAAATATAAATTTAGGTTAATTTCCAGTCTCAAAAGACAAATTTAAAGAATATAAACTTCTAACTTGTCATTGTCATTTTATCACGTGACCAAAAAAGTCTATAGTGTTTGTTTATTACATCTACATTCAGATCTAAATCACTATCACGTGATAAAAAGTTCACAACATCTCAGATGCATCCGATGTGGATATTCAAACGCGGCATAAGATGTGTTTATTATAGTATTCTTTATAATATTATTTTTTCCTTTGCATCGAAAGTGTAGCACTGAGCTACGTCACTTCTGAAAATATAGTTCCATTTATACAAATTGTATGGATGGAACGATATTTTCAGAAGTTGTGTAACTTAGGGCCGATTCCACCGTTGTGTTAAACGGAGATTAAAATGACATTGTTAATGTAAAAATGTCATTTTAAACTTCGTTTAACACAACGGTGGAATCGGTCCCTAGTGCTACAGTTTCGATGCAATATACCTATGTTTTGCACATAAAAACAACGAAAATATAAGTTACAAAATAATAAGTTAAATAATTTTAACATGGTGTTTATATGTATTAATTATAAATTGTTGGTCATAAGAAAATTAAGCCACTTTATTCAGTAAAAAGGAATACAAACTTTGCGTTTTGGTAAAAAATAAACAAAAAATAAAATTTGGATCTCATTCTGTATTATAATTTCAATATTTATATAAAAAATAACAATTATTTTGAAATATTTTTGAAGTTTATTCTTTTTTCGTAGGGGAAAGGGTTGTACCTTGGGACATTTTTTACTTCTCCAGTTATTGTGCTGACATCTTCCGTTCGAATACAAAAACCTTTTAGCTCTGCAGAGGCTATAACTGTAGGCAACTGTTAGCCAACAATTTTGCCAGCATCAATGCGTAGACCACTACTAATTGTTCAAGCAGTTGGTGATTTTTGTTTCGTACAACATGTGGTTTTACATTGGGACAGCGTGGGTTCTACCTTGGGACATGGTAAATAATTGAATATCATAGTTTTTATTATATTAAAATAAGCCATAACTTTAGGTAGTATGTATTTTTTTTTTATTATAAAAATATGTTAAACATAATTCATACTGAATAATTTATTTCAAATTAAAATCCTGTGGGAATGAAATGTTAAAGAAATGAAATCCACGACATATTGCTGGAGTAGGCAATACTTTCACTATATTGCACATATTAACACTGCTAATGTTGTCGACGCTGGGGAATACAAAATGGGTTCTTTGCTTCCTGAGAAACTTTATGGTCATATCTGGTCCAGATTTGTCTTATTCTACTGCTAATTCAATGTAGTAAACATCTCGATTAGTTTTACCGGCGATTTGAAATTTAACTAGAATCCAGCTGCCTTTGGAGAAAATCAACTGATCTTCGTTAGTTGGAAAGAAATTAGAGGAATCCTCATCTTCAGAACTAGAATAGAACCGACTCCCTCCTGAGCTATCGCCAAGGTCAGGTAATTCTTCATCAGATGATGATGAAAATTCTACAGCTCTTTTAGCAGCTTCTCTCTTTGGGCATAACTTGCATTTCTTATCCTTTTCCTCTTCAATTCTCTGCTTCTTTGGCGTGTCAGTAGGAATCATACACCTCCCAGGTTTTTGTCCTCTACCACGAATTTTTTCCGGCGTTACAGCTATAGATGATTTCAATGCACTGCTTGTCGAAGGTGTCTCTCTTGATTGTTCTCTGTTATTTTGCCTCTCTTCACTTTCATCTGACAGTTGGACTTCAGCAGCTGCAGCTGCTGCTGCTTCTGCTGCAGGGTATGGTCTGTTTGTCATTTTAGCAGGTAAAAACTCATTGTCTCCGAACACTTCTTCATTAAAGGACCAGATGCCAGTAGTTCTGAATCCCGTGGTGATGTTATTTGGCGTGAATGCCAAAAAGAATGCTTTTCCCAACAATGCGGAGACGTCGTAAATAGAAATAGGCTTTCCGGGGTGGTTGATCATCCAATCCTTTGCAACACTGTTATAAAAGGCTTTGAGAGGCCCAAAGACAGACCGGTCCAGTGGCTGGAGTTTATAACTAGTGTGGGGGGGGGAAACGTGAGAAAAACGATGGCATTTTTTTCGCCAAATTTATCGCTTTCAATGAAAGGTGACTTTCGTGGTTTTCCATAAGAAGCAACACTGCCACGAGAAAACTTGACCACAGAGATAAAGTGTTTTAGGTACTTCACTAATAGTTCTGCATTGGACCAATCACTAGAAGTTGCCATACCAAGGGTACCGGGTGGTGCATTATTAATCATGTAATCTTTGTAATGAACACGAGGAAATATAATGGCTGGGGGAATAAATGTTCCAGCAGCATTAACGCAAGCTATCACCGTTACATTTATTCCACGTTCTCCAGAGGTAGCTGCTTCAATTTGTTTCGCCTTTATGTTACCTAGCACACGTGATGGCGTGTGAACCGTAGAGCAACCCGTTTCGTCAAGGTTCCACACGTTTTGAGGTTGAAGGGAGTACCTTTCATGGATTTCTTGGAGCTTCCCAAAAAATATTTCAACATTTGGTTCGTTGAAAGATGCCATTCGACCTAGGCTAGTAGACTCCGGTTTTCGAAGAGATATTCTGTTTTATATGAATTACGAAAAGTTCCTGCGTATCCACGTTTTTTCCATTTTTCTGAATATTTGACTTTGTTTGCTTCGTCATATTGGAAAGCTAATTTTTTCATTTCATCCACGGTCAAATCAAAGTTCCATTGTGCAGCCTTTAAAATATATGAGAGAAGTTATTCTTCTTGCTCAACGGTGAAGACTGTAAACCTTTTGCGTCGCATTGTTGGCTTCGTATTTGAAATAAGTTTGACCAGACAACTTGTATTTTTTTATGTACCTAGCAAGAGTGCTTTTTGATAAACCATATATTTTCGCCACTTCTCGCACAGACTTTTTGTTTATGATAACATCCTTAACAGCTGCCCTAATATTTTCTGCTTCTGTTTTTGTCCTCTTTCTTTCTGTGGCACTCCTGGTGAAATTGCAATTTATTGTAAAAGTTATTTTTTAATGTTAAAAAATTCATTTTGTCAGACCTAATGTGCAACCTAGCACACTTGACAAAATGAATTTCTTAACCTTAAAAAATTAAATTACTTTTCAATAATTTCTTGCATGGACTGCTTGCTTAAACAACACTCCAACAGTACTACATGGAGTAAAGTGAATAAATTATGCTTACCTTGTTTGTAACGAGCTGGGAGTTGCCGCAAAATTTTACTTTCAGGGCGCGAAAACGATAAATCTGACATTTGACCTCGGAACAATGACTGAAAGAGAATGGTATTGGTGGGCAACACAAAGGATAGTATTGGTAACATAATATGTGGTTAAATTTTGAGAGCAACTGTCCCAAGGTAAAACCGTCCCAAGGTACAACCCTTTCCCCTAATTTTTAAAATAAATATTAAAACCGTATTAAAATGATTAACAAAATAAAAAGGCGCACTAATTTTTAAAAACTAAAATTAAATTATACTCCATAAAATTTTTTTCGTCAGAGAATTTAGGTAGGTAGATTACACCTACTTTTTACACAAAATATAAAGTTAATATTAAGGTTTACCTAGTTGCCATTAGTGAGATATTTATGATGTAATGTCATTTTGTACGAAGTAACTCTAAAATGTTTATACCTGTCAGTCTTCTTTAGATATATAAATAATAATCTATAGTTAAAACCAACTTATATCATAAAATAACAACTCTTAACGTTTTTATATCCATTTGTAATTAACTAAAAAAAATATTTTTTTATAAAGTTGTAAGTTAGTTAAAGCAACTACTGTAAAACGTATACTGTTAGGTCATACATACCAAAAGTGGCATAATCATATAAATAACGGTATAGTGTATTAGAATATGTAAGTTGTTAAGTTTTAAGAAAAGTTGTTACAACGTCGGTATAACCCTTATATAACTTTCTGTGTTACTAAATTAAAAAAAAAAGATTTACTCGTATATCTATTAAAATGTGCCAATTTAATTTCCTTTTTTCTTTTTAAGTAAATATAGTTTACATGTCATTTATTGGTAAAAATTTTAATTTAAATTAGCTAAAATTGTGTACTTCCAATAAAACTATTAAAATTGGTTCAACTCACCGAAACGCTAGCTCCCTCAGGAAAAGTCAAATATCTTTTTCGCCTCGATAAAACTTTGTTTTGAAAAGTTCTCAACTGAGCGAAATCCAGTAACGGGAATAGTAAACAAAAAGTAACCAGAAAGTGATATTTCTTCATTTTATTGGAACGATGGTCTTCTCTCGAAACCGAATAATCTATGAATTTTAAATTGAAATGAAAATATTTTGAGGTCAAATTAGAGCGACAACGTTAAGTGGCTCCTAACGGTTCAGCGACTGATGTGTGGCACACATTTAGTTACTTACCATAGGTATTCTTCAGATTTATTTGATATCACTGAATCAAATTGTATTTTGCCGGTATAATTTAATTATTTGTTTTACCTAGAAAGTTTAAATAGTTTCTAAAATAGGAGCTTAGTGGGAAAAGTACAGGGTGTGTCACGAAAAAAGCTGTTAGTAGTGATGAAATCGTGCATTTTAATCACTATAGATACTTTGTTTGAAAGATTTGCTCATTCGGCATTAATTTTAAACCAAGAAAATATATTTGTGTAGTCAAAAGAATTATTGAATATACCAGGTGTTCAAATTAAAGTGTTACAGTTAAATACCGCCTATTATAAACAAAACGTTTCAGACGAAAGTTTTATAGTTTTTTGGGGAAAACATTTTGGCTAAAATCGTTTTTTATAGCTAACCATAATATGGCCAACTTTTTTTTTCGCGCAGCAACATTTTCAAGTAGGTGTTACTCAATAAGTAAAAGTCCAATAAAAAAAATATTTCTCTTAAAAGTTTTTTATTTTTTTATGAACTTTAAGAATATGTAAAAAATAGGGTTCCAATTGAAAAAAATCACCTAGATATGGCCATATTATGGGTAGCTATAAAAAAATGAATTTAGCCAAAATGTTTCCCCCAAAAAACTATAAAACTTTTTTCTGAAACTTTTTTTTATAAAATGCATATTTTTGGCGGTATTTAACTTTAATTTGAACACCCGGTATATATTAAAAACCTAGTACTTTCAAACAATTACAACATTTCATCGGAATGATAAATCTTTATTACAAATTATTCCTAAATTCGCTCAAATTTTAGCACTTTCACATGATTTTATAACATTTTTAGACAAAAACAAAATCAAAGTTGTAGAAAACGGGCCAAGTAATTACGAAAAAAGGTTTAATGAAACAAAATATTCGTTTACAGTGGTTCCCAATGGGGGCGGTACCGCCCATCGGTATGCGATAAAGAGAGCTAAGGGGCCATTTTTGATCCAAGGCAAATTTAGGGTGGCGTTGAGAAATAATTCTTAAAAGTACTTGTTTTATAAAGTTTTTTTAAAATGTGGGAGGTAGACCAAAATAGGTTGGAAACCTGATAAAGGAAGCTATTATCACTTATACAAGAGATGCAGAGATGCTAGTTATTCCTGTATTGGTTGTGTCCTAGATATGCAAGATATCGATTGGTTAAACAACCCATATTTTCAAAATCTCAGAACTATAGTATTTTCGTAAAATATATTATACGCAATTGAATCGGTTATTTGGAAAAGGGCATAAACGAATTTATACCATTTTCGTTTTATGCGATTTTTCTATAATTTTAATGAACGCGAACAATTTGGTACGAAAAGGGAACAAAATATTACGCTAGAGCTGCTAGAACTGCACCCGTTTCACTGCGTTTGTTTCGAAATAGTTTTGCTGAAACGCAGGCGTATGTTTAGACATGTATCACGCTTTACAGTAAGATTAAGAAATTTGAAGTAATTAATATTCCATAGAAATAGAAGTATATTCCCAGTAAAACAAAGAATTTTACAGTATATATGACTGGCCAACAGCGGTTACCGAAGAGATGGTTCTTTTTTTAATATTTTTATAAAAATGCTTTGCTAGTATAAAATTACTTAACTTACTAAATAGTATGTAAAACTATATTTGTTTAATAAATATTGTATCAGATTTTTATTTTAATGTTTATTTCTGAATAAGTTTTTAAAAGGATATAAATAAAATGAACATAAAAATATTTTTATGATCTTAGATCTTAGATCTTAGATCTTTTACATATCCATGAAAAATAACTGTAATTAGCTTCCTTACATACTAATGAACTTATACAAATATAATATATAACTATTATATGCATACAATTTCATTAAAAAATTTTTTTTTACGATCATTATCCAAAGTAGACTTTTGCGCTTTGAAATTAAACCGCAAAGTTGACGTTTTTTGCGAACTGACAATAAAGCCTTGGTTTTTAAGGACCTTCCGTCGCGAAATTTGCCGATGAAGTTCGTCGATGGAATGCGTTTGCGAATTCCGTTCGCAAAGTTCTGTAGGACACCGTGTTTTTTGAAGACAGATTGACCGTTTAATTGGACGGAAATGATCAATTTCAGTACGCAAATCAGTAGTTTACAATATGTGCTGTGGCTATGGAGAGTTTTCCACAGCTTTTATTAAAGGAATAATTTGCTGATGAAGAAGATGAGTTGCTGCTGGAGCTATTAAAAAATGAAAAATCGGATAACATTTTTAAAACAAGAAAATCAGTCCACCTTAAATTTGTATCTTAACTACGGTGTACTTAAACTTAAGGTACACCTTAAGTTTTGGATGGTTTGCTGAGGTGCCACTTAACGAAAACTTAGCTAAGTAACGAGAAGACGTGGCAACTCCACCAAATCTAGTTACTTTTAGGGAAATTCAGATTCATTAATTCGTAACTAGAAAGATATGACATGACAATTGACATACATTTTTAAGGGTAGGGAATTGTTTCGTTTGATTTTGAAGAGGGAACGTGTAAAAATATAAATTAAAATGGGTGATGATATTTCAAAAAAAAAGAGGAATCCAAATTTTACCGGGCGTGAGAAATCAACCAAATTAAATATAATCTTTAACTACAAAGAGGTACTGGAAAATAAAAAAGAAGATTCTGTTATCTGGCGACAGAAAGAAGATGCCTGGAATAAAATAAGTGGCATTTTTAATGATTAATCTCCGGAAGGCATTCCTAGGCCAAAAGAGTCATTAAAAAAACTATATGACAATATTTAAAAAAACACACAAAAAGAAGTTGCCCAGGAAAAAAGGGAAATAATCTGAACAGGAGTAGGAGGACCAGAATAAGTAGTAAGAGATTCACCGACCGGAATAATATTGGATATTATAAATCTCAAATCTGTGTATGGTCTTCCAAATAAATTTGATTCAGACGCTGTACCATCCTGTAGCTATTTGGAGGACCATTCCTACACAGATAGTATAGTACAATTTTAGTGAGTGTATTTATGCATTTATATAAGAAACGGATTCATGAATACCTAAGTAAAAATGTAGAGCACATAATTTCTCTAGTTAATTATACATGTTGAAGAGGGGGGACTCTTTAATAAAACCTTAAATTTTGTAGGGCAAATATTTTTTCGGTTTATTTAAATAATTATCTTGAGAATTAACAAAGAAAAATCCAGTTAGTAATACATTTTTGAGATTCGTCAAATCAACATATTTCACCCCTGCTACCCTAGTTATAAATCACAAACGAGAATTTTCGTAGAGGGAATTGTTGGGCGTCTCATTGAAACGAAGCTATTCACGAAGATTCAGCTCGATAGTAATTATTTTTACATCAAGTATTAGTACTACAACTTTTGAGCGTAGGACCAGGATGTCGTACCACGTAATTTGTAGGACAATGTGGGTGTTAAATTATATTAATATTAACTAACTAATAGAAAAAAAATCAGCTGGTTAGTAATTATTTTTCATGTACTTGTTAATTATACATGTTGGAGAGGGGGACTCGTCGATAAAACCTTAAATTTTGTAGGAAAAATATTTCCTCGGTTTATTTAGATAATTCTCTTGGGAATTAACAAAGAAAAATTCAGTTAGTAATAAAGGACCCCGCAATAATCTTATGGAAATTGGGTTTCTGTCAAATTGTTTGAATTTTTGATATGTTGTAGATTTTGTCACCCTGAACAAAAGTCTCCATGGGCACAAAGTGCCAAAATAAATATTTGGCAGCTACGGAGCTGCCAAAGCTCCCCTGACCCGTTGCAAAACTATTTATTTTCAGTATTATTTACAGATGTCAAAAGCATATTTTAATTATTGTAATATGTAGGGTAATGTTTTTCAGGTCACTGGATTCAACCCTTATGTCAGATTGGACAAATTGACCGTTGACAGCTGTCAATACACTGTCAACGAAGTAAATATGCTCTGTTGACATTGAAAGTTTGGGCTTTTGAGGGAGCTGAATTCAATTCTAATCTCAGATTGGAAATATTGACAGTTGACAGCTGTCAATTCACTGTCAACGAAGAATAGAGAAGTAAATAATCTCTGTTGACATTGAGAGTTTGGGTTCTTGAGGTCGCTGAATTTAATTCTCATGCCAGATTAGCAAAATTGTCAGTTGACAGCTGTCAATTGACTGTCAACGATAAATATAAAAGTTAATATCCTCTTTTTACATTGACAGTTTGGGTTTTTGAGGTCGCTGAATTCAATTCTCATGTCAGATTGGACAAATTGACCGTTGACAGCTGTCAATTCACTGTCAACGAGGAATATAAAAGTAAACATCCTCTTTTCACATTGAGAATTTGGGTTTTTGAGGTCGCTGAATTCAATTCTCATGTCAGATTGGAAAAATTGACAGTTTGACAGCTGTCAATTCACTGTCAACGAAGAATAGAGAAGTAAATATTCTCTGTTGACATTGAGTTGACAGTCAATTGACAGCTGTCAACTGTCAATTTTGCCAATCTGGCATGAGAATTGAATTCAGCGACCTCAAGAACCCAAACTCTCAATGTCAACAGAGAATATTTACTTCTCTATTCTTCGTTATCAGTGAATTGACAGCTGTCCACTGTCAATTTTTCCAATCTGAGATTAGAATTGAATTCAGCTCCCTCAAAAGCCCAAACTTTCAATGTCAACAGAGAATATTTACTTTTCTATTCTTCGTTGACAGGGTATTGACAGCTGTTTACGGTCAATTTGTCCAATCTGACATAAGGGTTGAATCTAGTGACCTCAAAAACATTACCTTATATATTAGAATAATTAAAATATGCTTTTGACATCTGTAAATAGTATTGAAAATTAATAGTTTTGCAACGGGTCAGGGGAGCTTTGGCAGCCCCGTAGCTGCCAAAATATTCAATTTGGCACTTTGTGCCCATAGAGACTTTTGTTCAGGATGACAAAATCTACAACATATCAAAAATTCAGACAATTTGACAGAAACCCAATTTCTGTCCCTATAATTATTCTTAATTAAATGGAGCCATGTTTTTATAAATAGCGATAAATTTTGAAATTTTGTGGTTTTTGGTTTATTTTAATAATGTTTAATTGACAGAATGATTCTGCAATTAAAATAACATCAGGTGACCGTGGTATTGGTGGATCTGTATTCAACCTTGAATGGTAAACTCGTTGTCCATAAATCAAAACACTGACTAATAGCACACTGTTTATTCAATAATTTAAAAACACAAAATCTCAAGCTCCATGGACGATTTCAAAAATTGTGTTATTCTAAAAGTAAAAACGTTTCAAAATATTAACCTCGAAACAAGTCACCTGTTATAGGTTTGACGGTAAAGTCTGTCTAACAAGATACGAGCTGAGACATATTTACTGGAGTGACAATAAGCAAGAAATGAAACAATGTGTGTTGTCCCTTCCAAGTTCGAAAACTGAGTGTTGTGTAGCGATAGGTGTGTCTAACCCAGAATCATCCTTATTGTTGAAACTTTGAAACTGGAATGTCTTTGTGAGAATTGCATCGTTGCATGCGATGAAGGAGGAACTCGTAATTTCTTGAATGTTGAAGGCGTGTTAACTAGTGACCTTACATCATCGAGAGTGAAATTTTGCTAAAAGTATTTTAACTTTGCTGAGTGTGAAAGAGAAAAATGCTGCGATGTAAGAGTTATATTATTAAACGGAATATCGTTTGGATTTGGGTCGTACTAGTGCCTACGTGATGTTTCTCAGGTTTTTGAAGACACTATATTTAGCTTGTAATATATCTGGAGGAGATGAGATTGTTATTTTTAAGATAGATAATATGTATTTCTTAAATATGTGGGTAAAACGAAATGAGATTGTGTGTGGAATTTTAAAAAAAGAACAGAAAAATAGGGTGGATGATTGTTTAAAAGAATATAATAAAATTTCTACGCATTTAGAGGTTAATGAAAGCAGCACAATCGAAAGCGAAAACAGTGTCGTTGAAAGTGTTAACCGGGAGCAAAAATATAATAAGATTATTTTAAAATTGTAAAAAAAGAAAAATTATATCTAATGTTTAAATAATCGGTAGAGGAAAAATGGGGTTATTAATTATCTGATGATATTATGAAGATAGTACATATAAATTGTGTTTGTGTTTGTATATTTATTTTTGTATTCAAATATTTTGACTTGCCCTATACATAAAGGATCAATAAATAATTATTGTTTTTAATTTGTGAGTCTGGTATTTTTCGTATGTATGTAGGTATTTCATTGGGAATTTAATAAAGATATAATTGATTGTTTTCGATTATTTGTGCAGATTTAGGATTGAAAATAGGAACCGAAACAGAATTGTATTACTGGGTTGTAAGTTCATTAACAAACTCTATTTTTATAAATTTAGCCTTTATTCCTTCGATATAAATTTTAAAATTGCTTTTAAAATGAAAAAAAGTTCATTTTTATTTGTTTTTTTTTGCAACTAGTGACAATGAATTTTTCGTAATCAGTTTTATATTGTTCAACTTTATATAAGTGGTTGCATAAAGCAGATCGTTTTGACACTTGCTGCGATTACAAAACATGTCATTTTATACGTCAAAATTAGTTTTTTATATTTTTTTTATATACCGGTTGTTCCAATCTTTTGGAAAAGTTCCATATCATCCTTGTGGTAAGAGACATTAAAAAAATGTATTAACAAAATTTGTAGGGTGGCTTAAGGGCCATAGTGTAAAATAACGTAGAGGTATGCAGGGTTTTGAATTACTCAGGTGCGAACCGCATATATGTTTTTTAAACCAGGACACTAAATTTTTTATTTTACGTTTAGATTACTCTCATGTATGGAAATCGTTCCATATAAAGTTGATTGCTTCAATAAAATAATCTTTAAACGTCTTATTAATGTTAGAACGAGCGAAGCGAGCGCGCCCAACTGACGATTAAAATACGCGCGCGCGAACAACACACTTTGTTAATCAAATGCTGTTCAAGATATCTAAAAGTTGTTATGAAAATTTTGCGTTTTGTGAATTATACCGAAAACAATCGATGTCAAAATACCTACAAATTATAATTTTTATTTCTTAGGAATCTACTGTATAAAATGAAAACTTTTTAGTGCACCAACATTTTTTTTAAATTCCGACGTCCCTAATATTAGCCCCGGGAGTTTGAACACTTTTGATAGTTTCACTCCGATTATTAAACCCGTACCCCACGTCCTAAAGACAGAACTAGCAGTTAATCATTATGAATTGTCCACCAAGACGTTAATTATCAGAAATTGGACGTAGGTAATAGGTGTAGGAGTGCAAGAACCATTTCACTCAATGCAATCCGATCCCTATCTCATTTCCCCATTAATTTCCATTTCCATTGAAATTTCCGTCGAATTGCATCAAATTAATGGAGAGACCGCGACTCGTCCTGCAGATGGTATCCAATTTATTTCCACAGCCAACGATAATTCCGGTGTATCCTCTCCAGAATATCCAGAATATATCCACGAGAAGTCCCCCGACCGGGTATTGACTGACGCTTTTCGGCGATGCTCGCACTACTCCGCCTTCCCCAAAGAATTGCTAAGGGATGCTGCACCCCAGTACCAAGGGATGACTCGAGGAGACCGCTTCGTCAACACCTGAGTTCAGTGGTCGCGGGTTACGATGGTTTCGCAAATTTCGACGGGTTTTGCTCATTTACCGAGGAAAAAAATGTAAAAAGGTGAGTAATCATTGATATTTGTCGATCGAAATGTTCGTTTTTTGGAAAATGTTCGGACTGTTTGGAGCGCTTTTTTCGGATGCCGTTTGAAGTGGGCGTTCACTCTGAAGGGGGCTTGTCATTATGGCTGAATCTTTGTGTTCAAAGTTTCGAGTTTTTTTATAAATATGACTTTTAGCTATTTTATTACAGATAGTTTACGTTATTCTTTTATTATAATATGTAGTAAAAATAAAAAACTAGTTAGTGAGCTAATATACAATTTCAATAAAATGGGTGTTAAATTTATTCTTAATAATTTAAAACTGGCTCAACGAAACAAAAATATTTAAAATATAAATTGCAATTTTCAAAAATGAAGGAAGTGATATAATCATTTTATTTTTGATCTCTGGTCATCGCATTTTTGAATTATTAAAAATAAATAAATTCAATGAAACCTATCCACTCTAAATAATTGTAAAGATGGCTTTTATGAAGAAATACAAAAATAATGTTAAAAATCATATAAAGCCAAACGTCTTAAGAAAAATATAGAAGAAAAAGTAAAAAGAGAAAAGGGAAATAAAGATAAAAATGTAAACAAAAGCCCAAAAAAGGGTTTTTTGCTTTTTCTGGGCTGTTGTTTACATAAGTCCCATTGAACAACACATGAGGGTAGTCATGGGGAGGAGAGTGTGAAAGTTACTATTATAAATAAGCAAAAAGACATCCTCCTTAATTTTTTACAAAATGTTTGACTTATTTTTTCATAGAAGCCTCATCTTTAAAATTATATTTAGGGTGAATAGGTTTCATTGAAATATCCTATATATTACCTATTTAATGAGTTATAATATAGTCATATTTTTATTATTTAATGATAATATATTTTAAAATGTTTGTAGTTGTCGATATCAATATAAAATAAATAGTTAACTTGAATAAACATTTCTGATTTATAATTTTTAACTTAGTTTTTATAAATTAAAATGCAAATCAATATATATTTTAAACAGATCCGCAATTTGATACGATTAGTATGAATGCCTGCAGTACAATTGGTTGCAAACCTAAATCTCTTGATTGCATTTAGGCGGTATCAAGTGCATTTAAAATAATTTCAACAGCATTATATTTTCAAATAAATTAAGTCACAGAAACTTCATATATATGTCAGTTTATAATTGAAATTAATCTATATAATTTAATTTATATTTTTATTTTTGATTTTTTTTTTGTATTTAAGTATCTATTGTACATGAATCCGGGATTTGTAAAAGCAGATTCAGCTAATTTAAAAATGTCCACAAAACTCAAACAACTAGAACAAAAATACAAATCACTGAAACACCTACGCAAACACGCTAAACCATGTTTTTTTTAAATCCACCCTCCAACTATATATCAAAACCTTAATATGGCCTAAGCTGTCTTGTTTTTTTTAATTATGTACAAATTTAGCCCATTCACGTTTATTTATACCTTTAACTTTGCCTACTGCCAATTTAGTCCACGTATCTTCAGGATTTCCGATACTGCATCATCCCAGGTTTTTCTTGGTCTTCCCCTTAGTCGTTTTTCATATGTTCTTGTTTGCTATATAGTTTTTGCTTGTTTTTTATTTTGCATACGTATTAAGTGTCCAAACCATCTTAACTTATTTCTTTCTATGCTTTTAACTAGGGGTTCTACTTCTAGCTCCGCTCTTATGTATTTATGTCTCTTCTAGTAATCCCTAATTTCGCTCTCAGATACTTCGTCTCAACTGTTTGTAGTCCTCTTTTTGTTTGTTTTATTAAGACGGTTTTCCAATAAACGGACAGTTTATGTTTTGTTTGTGTTTTCTGGAATTTGAACAACAAAAACAAAACTGAGACAAACCCAAAACTCTTGTTTCCATCCAGCGGACTACATTTTGTTACAGTTTTGTTTTCTGTCCTTTTCCACTGGTTGTTGCGATGAAGTCAGAACACATTTTCTTAATATTTTATTTATATACCTATTTATTTTTTAAGATAGGTCCAAATTGAAAATTCAAATAAAAGTAGTTTAAAAGATGTATGTGACATCATAAAAACTTAAAAATGACAATATTTGAACTTAACCTAGTCTGGCTCTGATATATTTATTCTACTAATAAATATACTTATATAAATTTATCCAGCGTTAAAAATACATTATGTATTACTAATTACCTTACTATAAAAAAATACGTTATTTACTTACTTATAGGTACCAAGTTGATTCAAAATTTAGACTACACGATACAACCGTTTCCAGTAAACAGACTCGTGTTTCAAAACATGTCAAAACATTTTGATATTACCGCTTTCGAGCAGGACCCGAGAAACAAAACTCCAACTGTCGCAAAAAAGTTTGCGAACAGTTGCAGTTTGTTTTTCTCGACACGAGTTTGTGTTTTGTTTTTATTTTGTCCGTTTAGTGGAAAACCGCCATTAGGACCCAGATTTCACTTCCATATATTAAAATAGGTTTAAAAACGGTTTTGTATAGTGTAATTTTCATGTTCTTTTACACTTCTTTCTTACGAATAAAAGTCTTACTTAGTGCATAATATAATTTGAGGGCACTTTTAATTCATCCGTTAATCTCCGCTTCATATTTTCCATCTTTATGTACTTTTACTTTCAAATATCTAAATGTATCCTCTTTTTATCTTTATCTTTATCGATTGTAAGCAGGTAGGGTTAGGTTTGGCCCAGAACACTACAGCCTCTTGGGTCTATTGTATTCCCCTGCTTTCCCCGTATTCAGGTACTATCTTTGGAATAGTCCTGTGTCTTTCGTTAGTTTTAATAGGTTCCCTACCAAGTGTTCCTGGGGCGTTCTTTCCGGTTCTAGGCCGAAAAGGATGAAACGTTGCCCAGTAGAGCTTCGCATTCGAAGATCACATGGTATGAGGTTTCTTCCTCTTCCATGCAAAGTCTACACGTAGTGGGATCATTGTGTAATCCCATTACATGAAGGTGTTTCAGCAAGCAGTGCCTCGTTAGTAATGAAAATGTATCCTCTTGACTTTTGTTTTATCTACATTGATTATTAGATTTCTAATTTGAAAAGGCTTTTTCTAGATGTCTAAGTTTTTTTGAAGATCTTTTTCCTTTTAACGTATACATTAAGTCATAAGCAAAGGCACATTCAGAGATCTGCATCTGTTCTATATTGCTATAGCCCATGGTAAATGTCTTTACTTCATCTTTTAGCTCTTTTAATATATCGTCCATTATTACATTGAACAACGTCGGACTTAAAACTCCTCCCTGCCTTTAATCCTCGTTGGTGGTAAATTCTTCTGATTGTAGGTTTCCGGTTCTTACATAATTTCTCGTGTTTGAGTATTTATACTCTTTACATCGTCGATAAAACTCTGGTTTATTCCTCTCTTTTTTAGACTAGTCCATATTTACTGTCTATATCCAAAAAAACAACATTCGATTAAAGGTCTCACTATAAATGTGTGAAATAATTAAGTACAAAAATAACTTGTCAGTTTAGTAAACAAACGTTTCTGTGTCAAAACCAACGACGAAAAACTAATTGTGTTTACGAAAATCGAAATGCAAACATTCACGGGGTTATCCACGTAGTTGTCAAATTATTATGAGAAAGTATGGGAGAGTCTTATTACGAGGATTGTTTATGGTTATAATTCGATAATGACTCTAAAACGCACAATAGGCTATCAAAATTACACTAAAGGGAGTGTGTATTTGCATTCTTAATGCATGCATTAATTATCAGTTTAATGTATTTTTCTCGTCCCAACTATCATAGTGAATGTGTTTTTCAGTAAAGTACGCAGTTAATTTTGAAGAGTCACATCAATGTACGGAAAAAAAATTGTAGAACAAATTTCTACAATTATACATTTTTTCTCTACAATAAATAGTACATATAGGGACAGGGACTATATGTAGTAAAAATATCCAAATGCATCTTAAGAATTGTTCTACAAATTACTATAATTTTTGCTATTCATTGTATGAATTTATATTAAAAATGTATTGCGTTTCATGAAAATAAATACGAAAATTTTACACAATAAATAGTAAAAATTTATACAAATTGTAGAAATTTTTAATAAAATTTGTAGTATTATTCCATAATTATTATAATTATAACCTAGAAAAAATGTTCCTTAATAAAAAATTTAAAATTTATTGTTTTAATATAAAAGATACAAAGTTTTAATTACATTATGTAATAAATAACAGTAATAATAGCCCCCTCAGTCTAAGTTGGCTTTTCTGCACCTGAAAAATATGAAATAAAAATTAATACCTATTGAACTGTTCATACCCTTAAAACGGGGATATTTATCACCTTTACACTGATTGGGATATTAAATGACTACGTCAGATAACTAACACAAATGAGAAAGTAGGTATGTCACAATTAAGACAAAAAACATCATTGAACTTAGCAAAACATTCGATCGTTGGCCAAAACTATATTTTTTAAAGTAATCTACTAAGGTTATTTAAATTAGTTATCTAAAGGTAAACTATTCAGAAACAATAATAAATGTACTTACCACTAATAGAAGTTATTATTAAAATTTTCTCAAACGCACCGGTGCTTATAATACAATAATGTGTTATATTATGTATCATGCTTTGTTTTGTGAACATGGCGAACGGCTACTGCTGTCTGGCCATTTATGGTCGACGTCAGAAAACGTTGGCCAATAGCAGAATTCTGTTTTATTCACATGACTTGGAATTTCTACAATATTATAGAATATTTTTGAACAAAATTGAATTTTTTTCATAAGAAGGGATGTAAAGTATTACTATTTTTTGTAGAGAAAATTACTATTTTTTGTAGAGATAATTATTAATATTTGTACAAATTTTTACAGAAATTACTAGTAGTAATTACGATAATTGTAATAAATTTCTACTTCTACAAACAATAGTAAAATATACTAAACATTGTGGTCTTCTTTCCTATTGTTGTAGCATTTTATTCGACAATTGTAGTAAAATTTTCTACAA